CTGCAGTATCTAAAGTAAAACTAGGCAATTACTTTTCTATAGCCAGCTAATAATGCTGCTTCCACCGTTTTTTTGGCACATTTTTTACCATTTATCATGTATGTACCCACTAAAATATTGTTAATACATATATACTGCGAAGATATCCCAGTATTGGCATATTATTCCCAGAATTAAGCTTAATATATTGCATACTTTCAGGTGTGATGATTTTTGAATATTATGAAGGGCTGATTTAAAAATTATTTGAAAACCGTAGATATTCAACTTGCTCTTCCTTTGACAGATGTAACGTATAAGCAGTGAGTAATGATGACTTGACTAATCACGAATTCTGAATTTATCACAGTAGATTCTTTATCTGATTATAATCTTAAAGTTTTTGTATAACAATAAAATTATCAAATTGCTGAATTTGTTAACAAACATAACAAGTATTTAAATCCATCTGAATCATGTTATAAAATTAATATTTACCGCAAATTTATATGAGCACCTCTGGTGTAGTGGTATCATGCAAGATTCCCATTCTTGCGACCCGGGTTCAATTCCCGGGAGGTGCATGCAAACTTTTTATTCAGTATTTTTTTTTTTTAAGATCCAACAAGAGATACAATTATTTCTCAAAAGCTTCTTTCTATTCTATTTTTCCAGTATTTTTTTTCTGTCAGTATTTATATCAAGTATGACTTAATCAATATAATATAAATAAAAGATTATTTCCTAGTTATCCTGCACAAGGATTAAAGAAGATTCCTCGGAAAAAATAAACCCTACATTTTTTTTCTCTGATGAGTTGGGAGAATTATTTTTGATTTATTTTAAGATAAAAAATAATTAGGGGGGAATTATCTTTCGCGTAATGGTGGTTAAACTGTTCAATTTCGCTAATTCAAAAATAAGATTTTAGCCAAAATAATATTGCACAGGCCTCTAGATTTCCATAATAAATGTAAAAACCTTTCTGCCATCCATGAAAAAAATCTCAGGATTGGGCAATATTATTTGGCTTAAATATTGGGTAATTGATAGTGTTGTTAAACGGCTTCGATAGTCAAAACGAATAATGTCGGTAGCAAGTCTGTCGTGATCCTAAGGCTGATCCATCTTTTCACGAATCCGTCACCCCAATGTATTAAATTTAACTTTGCTCTTGAATGTAGGACCAGGTGATAGGTAAAAATGAGTAAGAAGGATCTATGGGGCTGTATTTGGTAGTTTTATAGATTTTTTGCAAGGGAAAGTGCATCGATGTGCTTGGATTGTACATTGGGATCAATGCAGTAGTTTAAGCCCTAAACAGGAGCTGACCCTGTGAAAAGGGAATCAAGAGCATTCCATCAGGAGGTTTTCCATAGGCTCTAAACATGCCAGTTAGTTCAAGTCTCGATGAAATGCCTGCGGATTTAAGTGAACACTAAATGTCATTAAAAATTGGTGTTCCATGATGGCCAAAACCCGCAATGGAGGCAATGTCTACCCTTTCTATCAACGCTGGTTTCGCAAGTTTCTATAGGTACGGTAGAGTAATTTCACATTGAGTCGTAATCCAAAAGCAAATCATAGCTCATCAGGGGAAAGTTAGAAAACAAGATTGTTGGCGGGTATAGTTTCAAAAAACTCTGAACCGGATCCTTGGTTCAATTTGTGAAAAATTGTGAGATTATAATCGTGAAAACCCGATTTTAGATGAGCGACGGAGCCTTCATTGATTGGAATAACCTTATATATTTATGAGCACGAGGAGGGTCGTAGAGTCTTTGGGACAACGGAATTATGCAAATGCGGCTTTTGCTAACAAGGGGTGAGAAAAATGAAAAAGTTGGCTAATCTATGAATCGATTAGAAACGGGAAGCAATGAATCAAGCGTGGAAATTACAAATTTCATGTGGTTAACGTAAGCCGATTCCCTTGAGCTTGCATGGAATTGATGCTTGTAAATAAATTATGATTAGAGCGGAAAGCTCTTCAGCAAGGATTTGAAGTTAATGAATCGGGGAATTTGAAGAAAGAGGTGAATCGAAGAGCTTAACGAATTGGGAATGTATTAAAAATTTTTGAGAAGAAAAAAAAGTTTGATGTGGAGAGAGGTGCTTGGAAATGTTTTTAAGCTGAAGTAAGCTATATGATGCATTAGTAAAAAAAGTGATTCATGAATTTCAAACTACCAACTGGGGAGCCGAGATAAGTGAAGGACGAGAATTCGGTTGTATGGAAGTGGATAAATGGGATAGAACAATATCGACAAATCTCGGTATCCACTCGTAAAGTAAAAGTTCAATTTTGGGAGTGTTTTAATGATAGCCCGTGCTTTTGTCACCTCTTTTAGGGCAGCAGAGTAATCCATTGTTTATATACCAGGTATGCAATGAAATATTACAATTGGCGGAATTGTCATAACAATTTCTTTGATACCTATGCAAAAAAATCGATCCCAGAGGAGTGACTAATTAAATTTCTTCTGTTGAAGGAAATAAATAATTGTTGAATTGGAGGTGAGATGACAAAGAATATCAGAAGTAAATTTGAGAAAGGTGGGAAATAAATGGTATATTTGTGAAAAAAAGTGAGATCGGTAAATGGATTGGAAGCATTAGAAAAGTCGACAATATTAATTTTACTGTATTCTGATCCATTAAATAAACTCTTGCTAGGCGTCGGGCTATTCCGGCCTTGTGGGGAGTGTACCCCAGAAAGCACAAAAGAATCAGAGATAGGCATGAAATCAGAGTATTATAATAAAGAAAAATATAATATAGGTATGGGGCTGAGTATGTAAATTTGAAAAAAATATATATTAATGTATTACCATAATAAAAATGAGTTTTTTTCAATAGCTAATTTTATCGAGAAGGAACAATGAAAAAAATAATATATAAATCTTTCCTAGTATTAAGTAAGTATATTGTTAATAAGAAGAATAATGATCGAAGAACCAAGGAGTTAATATCAAGCGCAGTTCTTTTTTAAATGATGTTCCATCATTATTTAAGAGGTTGTTAAATTTAAAAAGTAATATTACAAAAAAAAAACAAATATCATATCATCCCAATTTTTGAATATAGATTAAGAAATATTTAGCAAATAAAGAGATAGCATGAATAACATAAAGTGGAGATAGATTTTGAATACCACCAGAAAATGTGAAAACTAAAAAGAAAAAAATTAGTATAGTAACTTATACATAAAAAAATTGTTTCTAAACCACTAAATACTCTATTTTAAATTTGAAAAATCAATTTGTTTAGGATGCACAATTTTATTGAGCAGGGAATTTGTTACTGCATATACAAAAGAATATTAACAATTCTTTAAGGGCATTTATTATTGTACCTTTGTTTACTGTTTTTTTAAAAAAATCTTTATATAAACGTTCAATTGGTATGCTTTTATTCCATCTAAAAGAATAAAAGTAATTTATCAAACTATACATTGAAAAAATAGTAAAAGCCTAAATTTAAAAGAAGTTAAAATTTAAATTTAAATCAATTCTTTTTAATTTCAATTAAATAATTCAAAATTCGTTTTACAACTGACTTGACCTTACTATAAATATCCTGAATATTGTTTGAACTTATTCCAGCAGTTTAATAAGCGGAAAATAATTCAATGGCCTTTTCCTAAGCTTAAAAATTATATTATTTCATCAATTTATTTGACTTTTATTATATAACTTTTCTATTTTTGATAACAATTTCTTTTCTTCTTTAAATATTTGAAATTACCATAAGAATTATAAATGTAATTGCAAAGTCTCTATTTCAAATGGGTTATATTCTATTTTAAATTTAAAGTAAAATGTTAAAATATCTCTATCTTATAAAGTAAAAATTTATCCAATAAGAATTTTAAGTATATTTTCTTACATTTTTTTAAACCGTAAACCTGATGGATATAAGAAAATTTTATAAACCAAAAAAATATTTATTTATTGCCACTAACCACGATTAAGCAAAATTTCTAGAGTATAAAATGTTTAGATATTATTAGAGAAAGATTTGAGTAAAAATATTTCTGAGATTTCTTGTGCTGCAAGACAAAAGAAACTGCAGAAAACATGCCTAAAGTAGAGCCTTCGACATCAAGCGGTTACAGTTATTTTGGAAAAGGGCTTATTTAAGTTACCTGGAGAAATATTAAAAGGGCCACCATAAACCCAATGACATATTATTTCATTACATAAGCTTTAAATATTTCAAAAATAGTAAATTATATACTATAATATATATAATAAGCATCATAAATATAGTTACAAGAAAAATTTCAAAAAATAACAACGATTATTACACAAATATACCACTTTGGTGGTTTCTTTGAATAAAGATTTGAGATTGAAAATAAAGAATTAATAAGTATAGAAAGGTATTTAAGGATAAATCTGAATTTATTCGTTATTTTGCAATGATTATATATTTTGGCGGAGATTCGGCTGTTCCCATGACTGTTTCAGCAAGAATAGTACCACTCTTCACCAATCTATTAAACTTAAATTGAATCGACTAATGTTTACTGAAATAGAATTTGTTGATCTAACCGCAACTAAAGTTTAGACTACTCACAGTAAATTTACACAAATGAAATCTAATGAGGAAGTTTAATATCGTCACCAATGTTTGATAGCTAATGATGAATCTTAGTAAAAACTTTATTTAAAATTAATTTTAAAATAACCCCATCATATAAAAAATGAAATTTAATAGGTCTATGTAGAATTTATAAAATAATAAATAATATCACTATATTACACTAGCGACTTTACCTCAAATTTTTTTTATTCTCTATTGTTTTCAGCTATAAAATATTAATAAATTAAGTAATTTATATATAGTTTACCCTATTTATTTTAAATTCAATTTCATTTCAATTATGTGAATATAAAATAATGATATATAGTAAATACAAACAAGTTATAACCAGCTCTATTGAGGGCTTTAGTAGAACGATTGCACTCACATGCGTAAATATAAAAATCCTATGTATAAAAAATATTATATGGGAAAGAAGAAAGCTATAGGCTAACTTATGATTATTGGTATATATGGTAAGTTTTTAATTATAAATACATAATATGATTATTTTATATAGGGTAATTTATCTTCAAACCATTTCGATAAATTGGATTATGAGCATTTAGAATTATTTAATGCTGAAAAGTATTTTGGACTTGTCAATGTAAGAGTTTTGGACATTTAAAAGCTTAATATATATAATTAATTAATGACACAAATAATTTAAACATTAATTTTTTAAGATAGTAATAAATTATAATCAGATTGTGATTGTTTTTTTAATATTATTGAACCAGGCATTACACTTTTTATATACAATGATACTAGTTTTTATTTTATATGAAATGTTTATGATAGTCTTATAGCTAATTATATATATAAAAAAATTATTTTATAGTTTGGTAACACCTGCTATTGTAACTCAGTATTGCAAGCATTATACTTTTGCAAACCATTTAGAGAGAGATTGTTATTATACAAGCTACTTCATAAGAAAACCAAAGATACAATCTTAGCATCACTAGGTGACTTATTTTTCACTATTGCCTCTCAAAAGAAAACTGTTGGAAGTTTGGCTCCTAAAAAATTCATAACAAGATTACGAAAAGAATATGGTATATTTTTATTTCAACAATAATTCATTCAACTATAAATATTTTCAGAGAATTTTAATAATTATTTGCAACAAGATGCCCATGAATTTCTCAATTACTTATTAAATGACATTTCAGAAACTCTCACAAGTTATTTTTATAAATTTTTATAATAATTAAATTTGTTAACAGTTGAATGTCAAGAGAAACTTGTCATTCTAGCCTCCTTAAACCAAAATGCCCATATGGGTAATCACATTTCAGCAAGTTCGAAAAGGCAAAATCCATTCAATCATGCAATTCATTGTACATCAAACACAATTTCCCTAGGTTTTTTAATTATTTTCTTACTGTTATAATTTATAAAGAATATTTATTTACTTTAAATATACTAAAATAGGGAGGGATGATAACTAATCAAATAAAAGCTAGATTTAATTTATGTTTTACTTTATTGTAATGATTTATTTGTCAGAGTCCTGTAGAGGTAAAATTAGATTCAACCCACCTCAGGTTGAAAAAAAATTTCACTTTTTTGACCTGGCTTTGAATTTAAAATTTCTAAGCCTTGATCTGTCATTTATTTGGTCTGACCCTGAATTTTTTTAAAATTTAATTATTTAATTTTGAATAATTTTCGCTTGTATTTTGCAAAATAGTTTTAAATTAAAATTGAAAAAATTGGCAGTAAAATAAATATTAAATATTCCATTATATGATTTTTTAATATTTTTTCCAACTGATTCATTGCTATAATTTAAAAAAAAACAATTCAAATCAGCCTGGTCTCAGATTTTTTAAATTTATACCATTTTTCTGCCCCTTTTGGGCCAGGGTTTGGGTTCAGTTTTTTACTATGTTTTTTAATTAATTAAAAAAGTTTTTGATGATGATTGTAAATTAAAAAAAAAGGAAATAAATTTTTATATGAAAGTTGTGAATTTATTTTGAATTGAATAAAGAAATTATTGTTTTTGTTGTACAAAGAAATTCTATTGCTCGCGGAACCTTATTTCCACATTTCTTTTCATTCTAACTAAAATATAGGATAATTGGTGCTGAGAGGATGATTTTTTAATTAATTAAAAAAGTTTTTGATGATTATTGTAAATTAAAAACTAAAGGAAATATATTTTTATATGAAAGTTGTGAATTTATTTTAAATTGAATAAAGAAATTATTGTTTTTGTTGTACGAAAAATTATTCTATTGCCTGCAGAACCTTACATATGATACTATGAATTATAGATCTGCATCATCCAAAATATCATTAAACCCAGCATAAAAAGCCAAGCCCAATTTTTTTTTTAAAAAAAAGAACTAAAATTATTTTTAAAAAATAGGCCCAGTCCTGACCAGAGCCAATTCAGACCTCAGGGGAAGATCGACAGTGTTTTGCATCAGAAGGCCAACTCTATGGATGGTTTAGGATCCATTAAACTTATCTTGAGCTCTGGTCTGGTTGTTAGAGGTGTCGAACTTAAGTATCGATATGTCGTTTTTAATATGATGATTATTATATTTATTTGGGGGGAAATTTTCTATCATCATTTTTTTTTCAACATCAATCATGCAAATTATTTTTATATTTATCGCAATTATTTTTTTAAAATTTCGATTGTATTTTAACTTAACTTCTTTTTATATTTTAATTGATACAATTTATTTATATATGCAAATCAAAGACCTACAAGCCCGCGTCCGGCGCTGCTGCAAATTTTTTTTTTTAAAAAAAATATCTCCCGGAGAGGCTGTATATTTTAAAACTTAATATTTAAAATCGCCTTTATTAGCTATACAAATCAAAAAATAAAAAATATTATTTAAATGAAAACTGGATCGGGCCTAAAAATATAAAACCCTGGCTGGGTCGCGTGAAATGGTATCTCTTGCCAGGCAGAGTTGTTAAAAGATACTTTTTAAATGGATCTAGATACAGATACATCGTCTAAAATAATATCTAGATACCGATATTTTATTCACGAATCTATCTAGATACAGAAACAGATACCACATTTTTATATCTAGATACAGGATCTAAATTCTTGTATCTAGATCCTTTAACAATCTTTGCTTGCAGGTATCTGATGCAAATTAAATAAAATGCAACCTTATATTAACAACATTGATTAGATTATGGGGGGTTAAATATATTGTTTCTTAGATATCTTTAATAGTAAAAACTCTGGTTGGGTTGGACCTAATAAATGTGTGCCTCCGGGTTGGACTCGGACAAAAAAAAATTTAAATTCTGGCTTGGACCTAGACCTCTGCGTCGACATCCGATTCGACGGCGGCGGTATTTTTTAAGCGTCGATTCCGCCACCGCCTATTAAAATTGTCGATGGCGGCGCGATATTTATTTTTAAAAAAAAACTTTTTTTTTTTTAACGAATTTAATTTATAATTTAGGCGCTCTTTTTCCAAATTACATTGGTTAATTCATTTTTTTTTAAAATAATTTCCTGTCTCAACTCCGATTTAAATTTATTGTATTTTCCACCTTCCCGGAAGTAGCACTAAGGAATTGTATTTTTACTCAGATCGGAGTCACGTGAACAAGACATATTTAGTAATAATTCTATTGATTTTTTACTTTAACAAAATTAAAATATAAATTTGGGAATGCAAGCAAAATATGAAATATAATAAAATCGGAATTCAGATTTAGCAAAATTATAATTGTCATAAATAAATAGTATTTTATCAGCAATGGGGAAAAAATTTTTCGCTAAGTTTACTGTTTGCAGTACAAAGAACCTTCCTAGCTAAAGCAAGTCTAGCACGTTCAAATGTTGAAGCATTCTCTTCTGGGATATTATGTTGGCTGAGCAAAATATGACATATTCTAGATTACTAATGTTGTTATAACCCGTTACTTGGAAAGCTATATAAGAACTGGATGTTTGCCCATTATTTTCAACTTGAATCTCACTCTGTGCATTTTTATCATGCTCTAAAAGTTTTAAATGTCTAATTAATAAATTGCAATGATGTCGTAGAATTCGAAATTTAAATATTCTGAAATAATTTTGAGATTTTGAAATCTGGGATCAAGTAGAGTCGCTAATATCTATTAAGTTCAGTAATGGGAAACCCATGGTCAAGCTTTTTTTCTTCATATTTTATTTTAAAAGTAAATAATATCTGAGCAATCAGATCTATTGATTTGTATATGGGTTTCTATTTCACTGCGAAATAATAACACTGAGTTTATTGTCGATCCCTTTTGGGAAGAAGTAAATTCCACCGACTCTCGGAATGGGTTTAATGCCGTGTAAAGCTCATCAACCATGTCCCATTCATTATTTAAGAGTTTTTCAAGATTGTTTTTCCTATTTTTATTCAGAACATTATTTTATAGGAATTGTGTTCACACTGCAAACACTTTCTGGCATAATTAATACGCTGTGCCAGCGGGTGGGGCAAATTTAATTTTAAAGTTAAATCGGCGGCTGTTCCGGCGTGAATAAAATTTTCCTGCGGCGCACAGGTCTTCACTAGATAACCCTCATATCATTATACTTCCTTAGGAATCTTCAACTCCACGTGATGTGCAAAAATTTGTATCTATAAATATTTATTATTTTTAACGTATAACATAAAAATTTATATAATTTAATCTACGATAGATAAACTAATTTATCTAACAGATAATTCTGATATGTAATTAAATATTATTTTTTAAAAAAATGCTTTAAGATATTTATAATTTTTAAACTATTTTATTGCTAATCAACCATTTAAATATATTTTAAAATAATTGTATTTTTTTATTAAGTAAATGATAGAGATTAAATGTCTATAAATGTATTATTTTATTTAATATTTGGAATAAATGATATATTTTACTAGCTTATACAAATCAGACCTAATTTTAACAATTTAATAAATTTATCTCCAAAAGAGGGCGCTAGATACATAAATACGAATATATCTTATTAGGAAACCCCGAACGATTATTGGTTAACTCTTTTTTTTTAAAATATTTATTTAGGTGTAGAAACACTGGAAAACCTAAAAATTTGAAAGAAAATGATAGGTTTCTCTGACATTTAATTTTTTGAGTGAGGTTTTAGAATCGAAAAATGACCACAAACTTGTGAGGAATATATTGCTGGCGTTATTGATCAGAATCTCTTCAACCTATTGCCGACCCAAACTCGACCCATGACTAAGTACCGCCTTGCCCCGTGATAAAAAATGTTCATTTTTTTGTTATATGTCGCTTATAATTAATTACGTGTGAAACATTATCCTCAAAAAAAAAATATTGCGATTTGATCATCGATACACAATGACTCAATACCGCTTATTTCTGTCGTTATCCGCAGAAAAGTTATCATTTTTTTAGATTTAAGCTTTTATGATCAATTTATTAACCAGCAACTTTAAATGTACAAATACATTAAATATCTATTATATAATAAGTTATTTAATATGCCTATATTATACAGTATCATTCTTCCATTCCTTTTAATTGGAGGTGTAAAATCACAATATATTTTACACACGTATAACTTACACGTGTTAAGTAAGAGCATTATCCTCAAAAATATATTTGGATTTGAGACCTATTGCCGAACTCATAACAGAGTACTCGTAACCTGTTCCCAATGACTAAATACTGCGTTGCTGGCTTTCTTCATCCATGCAAAATATCTATATTTTTGTTCGGTTCGAATTACAATATTTTTAAAATATTTTTTTTTTGGGGGGTGGCTTAGCGCCATAGATATAAACGCGTAAAACGAAAAAAGAAACATTTTTTTTTTCAATTGATAATACTAGCAATTTCAATCGAATATTTAGTAAGCGGTCGGTTGAGTTCGGCGCTCGGTCAAATCACGATATTTTTTTGGCGGGAAATTTTTTAAAACCTAAACGTAGGCACATATAAAACAAAAACCACAAGATTTTTTCATGGATAAACGCCAGCAATGCAGCATTTATTCATTGCAGTGGCGTAGCTAGAAATTTTCTTTAGAGGGAGTTCCATACATATAAAAGCCTTGGGGGCTTCGTCCTCCAAACTCCTCTTAACGGCCTTCGGCACGGTTTAATCTTAAAAATCATATTTGTTTTTCTTATAATTTAAAAGTCCTGGAATTATTTGATCATTTTAATTAGTGTTGCATGACTCGATTATAAGTCAATACTATCCAGAATAGTTTCCAATGAGTAATATAATATCCTTCCACAAACATCAAAACCAAAAAAATATAAATATTCATGGTATTTATTTGATATAAAGTCACTTTTGAGTCTTTTGAAAGTATAATCTAAAAAAAACATTTTGCTTGGGGTGAGGGGTCCAAACCCGACCCCCCCCCCCAAGCTACGCCACTGAGCCACTTGGGTCTGTTGCTAGTCGAGTTGCTAGTCGATTATCGGTCAAAGTGCAATATTTTTAGAAATATTTTTTTTGTAATAACGCTCTAACAATTAGAGAAACGGTAATAAAACAAAAAGCGAACATTTTTTTTGGTCTATCGGATATTTTGAAAGCGGTTCGGTTTTGAGTTCGGCTATCGGTTAAATCGCCATATTGTTTTTTAGAATAATGCTTAAGGCGTTAAGAAAGGCCTATAAAGGAAAAAAAGAATGAAGATTTTTTACAGCAATGACACCAGCTGTATTTAGTCACTGGGTCTGTTATACGAGTAGGTTATCGGTAAATCACAATATTTTAAAGTAATTATTAGCGACATGTAACAAAAATGATCATTTTTCAATGGACAAAACCGGCAATCCAGTATTTAGTCATCGGCCGGTTTTAGGTCGGCAATCGGTCAACACACAATATGGTCATTGAAAACAAAATAGAAGAAATTCCGTTCAATTAACGCTAGCAATTTGTGCCTTACAATTTTGCGATTTGCCGTTATTTTTCATATTCTAAACTTACTCACCAATTAAATGTCAAAGAAACCTGTATAAAAGCACTGACCAATAATAATTCCGAGTGCCTAATATCGTATTAATTTTTATATTTTGACATTTAACGCCCTCTTCTGGAGATATATTTATTAAATATAAAAATCGAAAAATATAATTTTCGACTCGTAATTAAGCAAGTAATTCCATTTTTTCCCGCCATTAATATTAAATAAAAAAATCTATTTATATATTAATATTTTTGAATATAATAATAAATAAATAATTATTTGCAAAATATAATTTTTTTTTTTAAATAAATAATATTTACCGAAATCATCAATTTTTAGACCTTAAATAGATTTATAATTACTAACTTATCTTCCTGATAGTTTGTGCACATTAATGAAGTGCCGAGAAAGGTTACTTGTACTTGAATTTTTTACTAAAACATTTTATTTCATAATTAAAAAAGATACAAATTATATATTAAATAAAAGTTGAAAATGGATTCTTTCTTTCTTTCCTTTCCTTTCCTTTTCTTTTCTTTTCTTTTCTTTTCTTTTCTTTCTTTTCTTTTCTTTCTTTTTCTTTTCTTTTCTTTTTCTTTTCTTTTCTTTCTTTTCTTTTCTTTTCTTTTATTTTCTTTTCTTTATGTTTATTCCGAATCTTCCTCATCCCTTTTTTTTCCATCCCAATTTTTAGCGAGTCTTCTCGATAAATATAATTGGACATTATTGTGCCTTTTTTCTCTCTTTATAAGTCAAAAACAATTGGTATCTTTATTATAAAATAATTCTTATCTATATATATATATAATATATATATTTAGTATTTTACTAATTATTGTAAATTTAAACTTCTTAATATTATGCGACAATTAGATTGAACCTCGAATAATATAATATAATAATAAATGTAGGAAAGTTATAAAATATTGTACGACACACTTTTCTCATTTCCGTTCCTCAAAATTATCATTTCCCAAAGTAACCTCCAGGCATACCTAGATTTATGATTATTAGCGGAGAGAGAGAGAGAGGTCATCTTCAGTAATTGTACAACAGGGTGGTTTAAAACGTGCCGAGTCAATAAAAGATGATTAAAATGCCAATAGTTTGTGGAAACGTAATATACGATGTAGGGAATGACTGTAAAATGATATAAGAGACTAGTGTATGTTAAATGGCTCGTTTTGAGCCCATTTTTTGAATAGAGAAGAGAAGAGAGGTTCAAACTGAATATTTCATCCGGAAAAAAATATTACGCCAGCCTGAAGATTTTTGCTCATGGAAGGAGGAACAAAAGTCTAGACATGCAATATTTTTCTTGCTGAAATATTGAGTTAGCCGTTTTTAAAAAATAGGCCCAAAGTGAGCCGTTTAACAACACTATAGACTAGGCCTATTCAAAAATAATTCGAATATTCGATTCGATTCGAATAATTCGAATCGAATACAAATAGTAGATTTTATTATTCAGAACGAATAACGAATCGAATATGAATAATGCACTATTCGATTCGAATTCGTTTTTGAATAGGCCTACCATAAACTATTCTATTGTAATAGAATTACGATTTCATTTTTTTAAAATTTTGTTGTTTTGTTAATATTCAAATTTAAATGATAATAATTTAATATATATAAATATAAATATAAATTAAACAGCATTCTAAAAATTATAGACGCCGCGCCGATCATCTCAATCGGCGGCTGTTACGGCTTGAATAAAATCGCCAGCGATGCGCATGTCTTACTTGGGCATTTTCCTTTTAAAACCATAATACGCAATACTATATAAATATATTATAATAATACGATTTTCAGACAATTCACACGTGACCAGCGATATCTCGAAAGATCAAATCAGTATTCAATCGTCCATCAACCAAAATTCCATTTCGAACAGTTCGACCGAACCGCCTTTCAGTAATTCGAATTCTATTCATAACGACGGCAATAACTACCACCGAAAACACACTACGAAAGAAAAAATATTTTCCGCCTGGGCCAAATCAAAAGCTAGTTTCAGGAGGAGGGCCTCTCACGCTGGCATATTCGTACCTCCTTTTCTAGCGACGCGTAAATGAAAAATCAAATTTTTTACATTTTTTCTCTTATTCATGCGCGAAGAGGTATCTTTTATACCCTCGGAAAAGAGTCAATCTCGAAGATAATATTGATGAGTGATAGGTGATCTTCGAATATGTAGAGGGGGGGGGCGAGAGAAAATATCTTAAATTCTCCAAGTGTGGAAAATGTTTTTATCAAGATTTTTTTCTAAGAACTCTCCATTTTTGGCCATATTTTTTATAATATAATAACTCGATATTTAATTATTATCTGTCATAAACGTCTATCAAATTTATTTTTCGAAGATTTCCTTAAAAAAATATATAAGAAATATTCGCGGTTTTTTTTTGTCGCGTTTCGCGTTTTCTAACAGGACCGTACCCGTTAAAGATACACTAAGAGATTTAAATATATATATATTTTTTGGAATATCCTATGTTCCTCATTTACCTAATTTTTTGATTAGTTTGAACAGTGTTTTTTAAAATAAAATGAATATTTAATTTTTTCCCCTTCATAAACGGTTCTTATTTGATTAAATACCGTATTTCAGCCGAAAACGAAAGCGGGTTACCTTTATTCGAGTCCGCCCAACTCCCTAACCGCCACGTAAATTCGGGTATACCCGTAAATCCGGAGGCTTATCAAATCGACCTCAAACACGATTCGCTCGATAATCATAGAACGAACCACGATCCCGATTTATCCCACTGCAACTGCGTAAGATCGAACGCTCCCGTCTCGAATAACGATAACGTCAAGAAGAAAAGCAGGCCCAATTTCTTGCTGAGAGGCAAGAAGAGCTTTTTCGACACCCCTTACTTGAACAGCAGCTCTTGTTCCGCTAACAGGGTAACGCCACCAATAGATAGCGTTGGCAATACCCAGTGCAATGGCGTAGATTGCGATAAAGGCTCGAGGGATCGCGCGAGAGAAGGAGCGAGTGGTAAGAACGATAATTTCGTGAACGAAATATTCCGGGGCCAGTTGGCCCACGAGACCCGTTGCCTCAACTGCGAAAGCGTAAACCGATACGATTTTTTTTTATATGTTGTATACATTGAATTTCCACTATCGAATCTATAAAGGGTTCGGGTTTAAAATCGACTTCGTTGAATGTGGTACAGCTTGGAGTCAGAGTCCATAAACCTCAGAATCGTGTCTAAATTTAAGAACCATCGCCATTTTTTATAAAAATTTTTTTTTAAGGATTTTACATATGACAACATTCCTTATTCCAATTTTTACAGATCAGTAGCACGACAGAAGTATTTTTTGACATTTCCGTCGACGTCGGTCCCAACACATCCATTACCAGCTGCCTGCGATCTTACAGCAATATTCAAACGCTCTTGGGCGAAAATAAATATGAATGCAAGACTTGCAACTGCAAACAGGAAGCTCAAAGAAGGTTTTTTTTTTATGATATGAGTATTGGCATGCCCAAGAAGATTAAGATAAATATGAATGAATGGCTTAAATAACACCAATGAGAATTTTTTTTTTCATACTGAGTCGTACATTTGGTCGAAAATAAATAAAACGAAAAAGTTGCAAACAGGGTTTAACAAAAATGGTCATTATATAAATCCCGAAAAAAAAACCAACGCATCATAAGTACGACCTAATTGAGCGTTTTCGAAAAAAAAAACCAGTTCGCGTTTTGTTCGCGTTTTGCGGGACGCAAGGACATGCGCTCAAAAGAGTTAGCGTTAAAATATAAATGAAGAAAGAAACCAAATATTTCTTTCTTAAAAAAAATAAACCGATTACGAAACGATATTATTTTTAAATTATTCTTATATTAATTTCAACCCCGAACAAGAACTAGCATCAAGAAATTGCCCGTAGTCCTAGCTCTCCACTTGAAGCGATTTAAGATGGATACCTTGGGCCAACCAAATAAATTTACCAAAGTCTCCTTCAAAGTCATTTTCCCTCTCGAAATCAGGCTTCCTATATCGGTAAAAACCCTATCATGATAGCGGTTCGGCTAAGTTGCTAACAATGGCTATTGTTGTTTAACGGATATACTGCAGATTGGCGAGTTTTTAGCCAAACTCCGGCCCTAATCCGTCCGCTCACCCATTTATAAATTTTTTTTTTAAAAAAATTACCCGTCCTACGTCTATTTATCTATAAATTTTGTTTTAACCCGCCCGCTAATGCTTAAAATTTATTGCCGGTTTTGGCTCTTATTTATTTATTTATTTCATAACTATCGCATAATTTTCAATACAACATATATAATATGCCATAGTGAGAGGAGAGCAAAAAACAGATTGTCCTTCTTTCTTTCTTTCGAAATAAAACTCTTAATATTAATAAATCTCCAGGGCTTAAAATACGCCCAATGTGCAGACCACTAATATATACTATAGATCTATGGCCTGAATTAAATAAATATTGACTGTGGGTGACTGAATTTAAGTCGAACTAGGATTACTTATGGCTTAAAATTTTTTTTTTTTAAAAATAAGAAATTAGATTTAATATTTTAACTAGGTTAATTGGGAACGTTAAGGTAATAAATTTTTGGAATTTGACAGAGTCTGAAACCGGAAACCTAGAAAATTGAGCCAAATCCAAGAAACGGGTGAAAATTATTAGGAACTGGAACCCTTTTTTTTAAAAAAAAAATATAAATGGCGGATTATTAGGAAAAAATTATTTAAATGATAAAAATCCTTACGTTAATATTTTATATAAATGCAAAATCGTTCGACAGCCCAATAACTCTAGCGTCCTTTCTGACGAATTGGAATCCAGCCGTCTTTACGAACTAATCGCAATTATAGTGCACTGCGGAACTGGTCTTAACAGAGGTCATTACATTAGCATCGTCAAATCGCTCGGTAATTGGTTATTATTCGACGACGACGTTGTGGAGGTTAAAATTTCTAAAAAAATATATAATATAAATAGTATAGATAGATTAATATTTATCTGTGATAGGATAGGTTGAAATTTTTTTTTTAAATGTTTAAACCAATCAGATTCAGACTATTTTTTTATTCTTCTTCTCGCGGATCCACTTCAGGTCCGAGTTTTATAAGTTGGTATTGGAGGAAATGGTAGTTTATCTTGAAAAATGATATAATATAGAGTCTGGGTGATTTGACAGGTTCAAGTAGGGGAAAGGAATTATAATTTACTCCTAAATGACGGATACCCGTAAGTTTTATTCTGCAAAGGAAACAGATGTTTAATATCATAAATTGAATGCATCTTTCGATTAATAACTTTTCCTCAATAGTTTATTTTATTTTTTAAAAAAAATTATTATTTAAGACCATCGACGAATCATCTATCCAAGATTATTTTGGCGTTTCGTCCGACCACCAGAAATCGTCCGATACGGCTTACATATTATTTTATCAAGCTTTAGAATGGCGCTCTTTATGATAAAAAACTTCATTTTTATATATATATATATATACACACAAAACCACAATATCATATGGGAACGTAAAATTTGTTGTAAAATTGATTATTATTAAAAAAAACAAAAATCATTTACTGTGATATCCATATAATACCATCGTCGTTAATCGTTTAATTTATAGTCAATTAGCCCCCCTCTGACAAGCTCCTTCTGCCCCTAATATTACACAAATGGGAAATTATTGATTACCTAAAAAAATCCAAACCCATATCTTTTTTTGTGTTAAATGGCAAAACTCTTAATAAAACAATCTTTTACATCTCATTTTTTTCCCTCCTTTTTAAATATAATTATATATTTTTTTGGGGGAGATAAATGACAATAAAATAATGCCAATAATTTTCATGAATATAATTTTTTTAAGAAAAATAAATAATGTTGCCATTAATTATAAAAACGAAAGAAAAATATTTTTTTTTTGAACACCCTTATATTATTATTTTTTTAAAATTAAATATTATAAATAATAATAATATAAGAAGAAAAATATATGTCATATTAACTATTATAATAATAATTTAAAAGAAATTTATATATATATAATTAATTTTTTCAATCCTTTTTAAGATATTATTTATTATATTTCGAAAAGAGAAACTAAATCATGCCAATATGTTTTATATATATATAAATATTATATATATATTTACATATATATAAAAAAAAATTTTTTTTTTTTTTAGAAATAAGTTTATCATGGTATACACATTTACCATAACGAAATAAATTATTTATTTTAAAAAAAAATTAATTATCTTCTTTCAACCCTTTAAATTGCCTTGCTAATTATACTCGGGTGGTAGTTGTGTTGTTAAAAAGCCGTCGATCTAGGCCGATTTTTCAAAACGACCCGATGAAGATTTTAGCTAATAATAATATTGTGTATGCATCGAGATTTGGCGAATAGATGTCAAAACATCTCTGCCAGAGCTGTGTGCTAAATCTTTAGGCTTACATAATGTTATTTTGGTTATATGCTTAATCGGACCATTTGATCCGAATAGGGCTCTTTAACAACACTAGGTGGTAGCTATCGATTACAGATTTATTCATATTCAGATTTTAAACGAATAGAATACTTTTTAATTGGACAAATCAAATAAGAATAGTAAATTCTATTATTTGTATGCTTTCTTTCTCTTACATGCAGAAACATCCAAAGTTAAATTTTGATTTTGAAATAAATATGTCCTTAATTTAAAATAAACAAAAATAAAACATAAGATAAATCAGTATAATAATAGTCACCACACCAGGTAATAAAAATTATTATTCCAAGAAATTATTATAATAATTGTTTATAGAGAAAAAACACTGATGTTTATTTGACAGCTGGTACAAGTTATTACTATAAAAAATAGTATAGACATTAGTTGCAGACTATTTTATTTGCTGAAGGCTGCAGATAACAGTTTCTCAATATGAGAAAACAAATGGATAAAATGGTAACAGTTAGAAGAAATAAGGGTATATATATGATATAGATATAAATTAATATAATTTTTAACCTCACAAGTCATCCCAATATATATAATGAGAATGATATGGTGATTGTTTTAAATCATTAACGCCTTCAATGTAAAAAGAATGACATTATTGCCTATATGTCTATTTGAAAATTCAAGGGATAAAGAAAATATCAATCCAATACCCAATGTTTATCTTTCTCACAAAATAAATATTTTCATATTATAAAAATTGCCAAATGAATACAGGGAAAAAAGCAATGTAATTGATGTTGAAAATTGATATAAAGGTAAAATTTTATTCATAATGTACATTTTTATAATATTTTATTAAATTTATAAATAATTGGTACAGAAAAAATAAAATATAATTATTATTGAATCTTTTATTTATAAGACATGTACAATTGAATCTAATCAGCATTTTATGAATATATTTATGTTATAGTTACTTGATAAAGAATAATATTAATTAACATATTATTGAAACAAATAAAAAAATTTATTATAACTATATTTGAAAACATACATTATAGAGTAGCTTCTCTATCTTTTATGTTATAAAGCGCCCCCTGGCTATAAAAAAATTATGAAAAAAGTTTATATTTTTGACATATTAAAAAAAATTCTACATTTATATAACATTACATTTGAAAAAGATATTGACATTTTAGGCGTTGGGCTCAGTTTCTAAAAATTTAAATAAAAATTAAATCACGCTAGTGTGTGTGTTCAGAAAGGATTGGAAAATAATATAGCCAGAATACATGATACAATTTTTACACGATTGTGGCATCAATATATAGGGCAGGTTGTTAGGAAATTTTTTTTTGAGTTATATTAGATGGGTTATATATTAATTGTGAATCCATTTTCCAGATGAATTTTGAGGAGGTTAATTAATGGTCTGTCTACTAGAATAGTTGTAAAAATGTCGAAGAAATCATAGATAAAATCTGTGTGCCAACATTGCAGTCTAGATAAGGATCAACATTCATGAATACAAACATTTGCAAATTTATATGAAAACGGGGGTAAGGCTTGTTTTATCATGATAATAGTATCCGACCTAGATAGAAAAAAAAACGGTATAGTTGGTAAAATGGTGGATATTGATGGATGCGAGAAATATTGGGTATCAATATTAAGTGCCTTAAAGAAACCTAAGAAGCATTTCAATATTTTTGTCGAGGCATTGAGAGAGTTGAAATTTAAGCGAGTAGAGTCGGTACTAGGAGGTATGAAAGCGCTCCCACATTGAAAAGGATCAATAGAGTGATAATGAGGCTCATAAAAAAAATTCCAATGTCCACTCATCTTTTTTACATGTCTAAATATTAAAATTTTTTTTATATTAAAAATTAGAAAAAATAAAATATAAATGATATTTATATTCGATTTTCCATACGTCAATGTTTAAGGTGCAAAAACTCTCGGACTATTGTTCGTCCCCATCTAGGATTTTGTCCAAATATAAGAAAATATAATGTCTATTAAAAAATTGAGTGGAAAAATAGCAGTTTTATTATATATATTTCCAGTTTTCTATTTCCGGTTTTTGGTACCTTCAGTATCATATTAAAGGGCTATTATAGAGTTTAAAATTTTAACGGTTTTAGCTAAATTAAATCTTTAGAATTTTAAAATTAAATAAAGTTTATTAATTTACGAGTTTTTAAATATGGCATATCTTAGGAAATAAGCTGTTAGAAATTAAAAAAAAATTTTAACTTCCTACTCTGCTTTTCCAAAATAGGTATACAATATAGTTTACTTGAGATTAGTGCTGAGAGACTTTTTGTTTTATATAAAGATATCAGATGTATTCTTAAAGATATAATATATAACATTCAATGAATTCAGATTTATCCTAAATGAATAAAACATTATATGTTCCTTCGTATTATATTCATACAAAATAATTGTAATGAGGCTCACACAAATTCTTAAAAGCTAGTTACATTTTATATTCCTTGCACCAGAAAATCGAACCCAACAACTCGACATTTTCAAAATTTATATTCGCATTTTTTAAGTATAGATTGCTGTAACACCATGCATTCACCATAACCATATGGTTCTTATATAAATAAGATACTGTGTTTTAAATCAAATACAATTATGGCATTTGCCAGGCCTGAAAATATCTATATGTTAGCAGCCCAATTATCTCCTAAATTAGAAAAGAAAAAGGTCACAACTCCTCCATCTACTACAAAATTAAAAGTTTTTTTTAACAATGATACATTACAAAATGAAGCAAAGAATTCTGCAATTAAATATGTGGCTCATATTTTACAAGTTAATTTAATTATTGAAATATTTAATAATGAATTTCGCGTTATATTAAAAGAGACCAGATCAATTGGATAAAATTGAACAACACACTAAGCGTATTCATAGAAAAAAGGTAGGCATTAATTTTCAATCAAGTAATATATATGTATTTTATTAGGTTATGGTTGAAGCATTGTTGAAATCAATGATACAATCATATTTAGAAGGTGTTAGTAAAGGGTTAACACAACTCCAGGATGCCTTGAAAGATATTAAAAGTATTAAGGAAAGGTTTATAAATATTAAATTTTAAATACAATATAAAATGATAGAATTAAAGGTATCAAAGAAACCTATAAAGATGTAGCACCATTGGTCATAAAGCTAAAAGATATTAAAGATGAAAGTCATAAGCATAATCAGGTATCAAATTTAGTTCATACATTGTTTATATAATTATTAAGTTTGCATCTGCAGTAGAAAATTTAAAACATATTTTCAATGTTCCTGAAATAATTAAAAAGGCAAATATTTATCTGAATGATGGTAATTTGTTACATGCTCATCAATGGTATACTTTAAATTTATTAAAAATATATTAATTCATTATTAATTATATTTTATTATAAATATATTAAATTATAAAATAGTTTAAGATGATATAAATATATATAAGGATGATCTTCCTTTTTTTAAACTCTAGTATTCAAGATCTAGAAAGATCACGTGATGATTTACTATGGGAATTGCACAGTCAACCAACTCCAAATCCCATTGACATAAATGTTTGTTAAAATTTTTACCTTATTATATTATATTAATCTTTTTTAAGCAAAACCATTATAAAATGATATTCGATTTTCCTTTATAGAGAGATTACTAAATTTAAACTCCAATAATTACATGATTTTCTGTATTAATGAAAAAATTTGCGATTAATAGCTGAAATCTATAGAATTTTTAATTTTCTCAATATTTTTTGTCAAATATATCAAGGTTTCTTTATAAAAATATCTATCATCTTACTCTAAGAACCTTAAGATGTTTTATACTAAATTCAGTCGACCTATAATTTTGTTCTATCCTTAATTTTTGAATTCGATGGTCTAATAAAGAAGCCAACACCTAAAATAATTTATTGTTATTTATTTTGTTAATCATGTATTTTCTTTTAGTAAAGTAATCTTCGAGTTATAATTAAATTTTATTTTACTCATGAGGCAGTAAGCGCAGAATATTTAAAGTAGACCCTTTTTATGAAAAAAGAAGTTTGACTATATCTTTAAATTTTTGAAGAAAAGTAAATAAGAGGTTTGAATGTTTAAAATAATGTCTTCAAAACTCTTTTTACAATTCTCATTTTTCCTGTTGCTCCAGAAAATTCTTTAGAGCGCAATTAATTTTGTCATCTAGTTGTGATATAATTTTAACATTTTTAATGGTTAATAATAACTCTTTCATTTTATATTAATACTTCTTTTAAGATGCAAATTAAAATATAAATGTAAAAATAATTGAATTTAAAAAAAAGAAATTTAAAATGGACCCTAATACGTAAATCGGCTGCGCCTCAACTTAATACTAATAAATGGCGTCATATTTGGCGAGCTCGAACATCTCGACAGCCAGCTAACAGCTGACGTATATGGGTATAGCGATATTGAACGGCTAACTGAATATTTTAGCCAGAAAAATATTGCCTAAGGCTTGAGATTTCGATAATATGTGTCTAAACCTTTGTTCCTTCAATGAGCAAAATGCTTAGTCTTGCGTAATATTTTTCTGGATAAAATATTGAGTTAGCCGTTTTTAAAAATCGCCTTAAAAAGAAGCGTTATCCCCTTCTAAAATATAATCATAAACGACAATGTTATCTCATCCATAAAACGGTCGTAAGTAATGTTATAAAGGCCATGACAGAACTACTGCCTATTTTTCCAGTAATAAAGTTGATGGATGAAATTGTTGTACATGAAAGTTAACGTTCCTTTGAATATTCATGAAAGTTTCTCTAAGATGTATAAAATGTACGTATAATGTTGATAACTTTCCACGGCACAGTGCTTATTCGCGTAAATCGCTGAAACCGACAGTGACCATTCACTATTTTAAACGGGTTTGGTTTTCAGGGTTTCTTTTTCAGTGGTCTCTCTTTAGACTTAGAAATTTTCGGTTTTTTTAAAATTTTTCTAAAGGAAAATCGATTGTTTTATGTTTGCTGCAAAATCAATGTGTTATATTTACAACTTTGTTTCATTTTTTGAGCGCGTCATTTAAAAAAAATTTCAAAATCTGATTTTGCCGGAAATGAATTATTTCATCATATTTGGAATGCTTACTCCATGAATTGGAATGCCTACTCCATGAATTGGAATGCCTACTCCATGAATTGAGACAATTTTGTTGTTACTCTTTGATGTCATTCATAATTTAGAAAATATATGTAAAAAAAACTAATATAAATTATCATCGAAATTATTTAGCTCGAGTTGTCGATTCATTCCCCATAAATTTATATTAAATTTTTTTTAGAAACGTTATTAGAGCTAAAACCATCGGTGTAATATCAGACTCAGAAGATAGCAAATTTAAAAAATTATAAGTGTTGCAAAAATATCGCTTCCTATAATCAGGATATCGCCAGCGTTGGCGCGTTGAAATTTTTTTTGTCTTCCGTTAACTTCTCATTGGCAGTTTTGTAGTAGCCCTTTTTCCATATGTACCCGGTTCGGCCATTTTTTTCCTTCAAATCGCCTTTCTCCATTTTTGTGCCATTTTTTCAAACAATCATTTGGAACTTTCAAGCTTGTATTTGGTCTCACTTTTCGGTTCTTGTTCCCTATTAATTCCACAATAATTTATATATTTTTTAGAGTAATAGAGGCAGGTATTATAAAAAACTTAATACTTTAATATCAGATGATTCATAGGTATTACGAAGACCTACAAGACCTTAACGCTCGTCTGACGAAGCAACTTTTGCTCATAGGTGATAGGCTAATCCCCAGCACTCGGAAGGAACCCACTCTGGTCGTTACCATGGTCCGAATAATCGAGAGGGAGGAAAAGAACGATTTCCACATTCGTAATCGAACCGAATTTACCGGTTTTAACCCGCCCGGCCGGCCCAAAGACCTGAAACGGAAATTTTTCGAGGTTCTAACCGCGTCTATACGGAATAGGTATACTTGCTCGTTTATTATAAAGGGCGGGGTTGGAGGGGAGGGATGAAGACAACCATCGATATAATGTTATTTATTACTAAATTATTTTTGAACCAATTATCTGACACAGGGAGTTTTTTTTAAAGATCCCTAGATCCGATAATTTTATTTTAAATAGATCCTTTGGATTTTATTTTCGATTTAAGTTCCGATCCGATCCTATCGATTTCCTGTTCGAAATAATTTTAAAAACCGAATTCGAGAAAAGGTCGTGTCCGACCGAACCGAGCTCCGTCAAATGAACTCGGATGAGCCCGTTCGAGCCTCTTGTTTTCTTTCTTTACAGGAAGATTAAGTAATTAACATTAATTTTTTTTAAAAAATAAATAAATAATAAAAACAATATCTCAACAGTCTAGAAGGTACCCAATCCGAAGACAGGATAGTTAGCAATGTCTGGTTGGTCAAACATCTGGAAATGATCAGACTCAAATATCTCGACGACTTGAGAGTTATCAAGGTTTGCTGTTGTTGATATGAAAATGTACCTATTTTTCGATACTAATTACTTAAATTTTAAAAAAAAGTATCTCCATAAAAAAATTTATTTAAATGATTCTTTTTATCTACAATACTAATTTAAAATATTCGTCCTCTAGTCGACTCAAGCTAAAAACTCGTGTTCTCGACTCGTGTCGACTTGAGTTCACGACTTGAGTTAGTTGGCTAATTCCACTAACGACTACAGACTCTGAGAGTCGGAGTCGGGTAAACTCGGCTTTTTCACAACACTAGAATTAATTGATTGGTGATAACATTCTATACAAACTTTTCAGTACAGCATCGTACCTTTAACAGTTCCGAAAAACGGAAACGAAACACCCATGTTTGCAGATTATAAATATTTTTTTATTTTAAAAAATGACTAATTATATAAAATAGTGATATGGTTCGGCTTCGGACTATAGTATCAGATCTTATCTACTCACTGAAGAGGATTGTAGATTATATTAAATAATATTAAATTTGACAAAAAAAAATGGCATAATAAAAGTTTGTTATCCACGAGGAAAGTTTTAGAGTTTAAACCCTAAAAAATTATTCATATATTCAAATCTAATAATATTTATAGTGTATAATATCCATGCTTAAAAAAATATTTTAACACATTTTGACAATGTCCTGTCTACCTACCTTAATAGACAAAGTTAAAATATAAGATTTTTTTAAAAATTAATTTCTTCTTAGTTTAGACAACATCTTTAATCTTCGCAGTCATCATGATTCATTAGGATTCTGTATTAAACTAAATATTAATACATATTTAGCTACCTGTTTATCAAACTCTTATATCATAAAGTGGTTGAGAGTCTGCACTGACCGTAAGATTGGCACATGTTTGTAGCAATGCTCCTTATATATTTGCTTTACAATCCACTTCTAATATGGTCGGAATTCACGTGACTATTTTATTTCTTAACTAATGTAATTAATTACTATAATTCCTTTTTTATAGTTAATAAATTATCAATTCTACTTTATAAAAAAAGAAGTTATCAATTAAGATTAATTAATTTCAGACATGTAATTAAGAATTAGCAGTTATAATTCATAATTACATTTATAATTCCTTTTCTAATTTTTATGAAAAAAAAACGCTTATGATTGCAGTAATTCATTCACATTTTTTTATATTTAAAACCTATTTATAATTGTAATATTTCATTCACATATTTTTTAGCGGAAAATAATGAGTGATTATGAATCTGTAACAGACTCTAACTATAACTCCGATACTTATTTTTCAAATACAATCTTACATTCAGTAGAAGATATCTAGATTCAATACTTTTTTTTAAAAAAATAGCTCATAAAAATGATAGAACCACAAAGCGCTGCTTGTGCAGTCTGCTAATCAAATAGCTAAGGACTACACAATCAAACCATCAGTAATGCCCGAAAACATATGACTTCTTGTACCTAATCCTGTTTTAGATAAAACATCCTTCTAACTTATGTTAACATAATTTTATAATTAATTTTTTTTTTTTGCTAAAGCATCAAAAGCAAATATTCAGCAAAACTTTACCAGATTTTTTTTCAGTCACCCAAGATAAGTCATCAAGTGGCCTAATGATTTAATCGTAAATTTTGTTGAAAAAAGTCTAAAGTATACTTTTGTCTTGACCAGAACCTTTAGAAAGATTACTTAGCTTTGCAACTTTGCTAAATGAGTATTATAATAGAACACGTTTAAATAAGGAACTGTTAGAAAAAAATAGATACTTAAATAAAAAAAGTTATATAATATTTTGTGGTGTTTGACTAAACTGCAAATGCTGGAATTAAATTTTTTTTATAAAAATTAACTTACCCTTTATCACATATGACTACTAATCAGTCACATAGTGAATTTTCTGACCTATTTTACCGTGTAAATTATTTTGGCGCTAAAATTTGAATTGTGTCTTACAAGTAACATTCCTTTTATATAAAAATCATTTTTTTAAATAGAAATTCTCATATTTATTTAAAGTGCGAGTATTTAATGTCAGCTGTTCCCTATATTTCAAAATTGACATTTTTCGTAATTTTTAATTACATTTTTTTAATATTAAACTCCGATATTATTTTTCAAAAAAAATATCAACAGATAACTAAAATATTCCTATATTCTTTTCCGTTTTTATATTTAAAAAAAGTTTAATTAAAATTTTTTTACTAGCATTAATATATATGTAACACAAAAGACACAAAGATGATTTCATCATCTGATTCTTCTGATGATAGCCTTGAAGATTTCGACGATAATGAGGATGAAAATTCATTATTTTCAGATAATTTTACTGCTATAAATAGACGAAGAGACATACTATGGAAGGAAAAAAATATAAACATCCCTAAAAATTATTTAAAATTCAATGGAAAGTCAACTTTGGCCAGCGACATACTGGCTTTAAATACTCCATATCAATGTTTATCATATTTTTTAAATGATAATTTCCTAGATTTAGTGGTTCTCGAATCAACTAAATACGCTGCAATAAAAAATATAAATAAACCTATAAAAATTTCCAAAATGGAGTTAAGAAAATTTATTGGGATTAATATTCTGATGTCCATTGTCCAATTATCATCTATCAGAGACTATTGGAAAGATGTAATTGGCAATGATCTTATAAAAATGACCATGAATCACTAAATTTGAAAGCATTCGATCCATTCTTCATTTTAATGACAATAATAATTCTATAGCTAAAGGTCAACCAGGCTATAATAGGCTTATAAAAGTAGCCTCAATTGTGAAACACTTTCAAGATAGGTTTCGTACAATTCCTAAAGAGGAATGCTTATCAATCGATGAGCAAATTTGCTCAACTAAAGCTCGGATACATTTAAAACAATATATGCCAATGAAGCCTCACAAATGGGGCTTTAAATTCTTCATTCTATGCAGTGTATCAGGATTTGCCTATGATTTTGAACTATATTCTGGGCAGGAAAATGATTCTGAAAAAAGACCAGCAACAGAACCAGATTTAGGAGCGTCCAGCAATATTGTTGTGCGTCTAAGCCGTACTATACCTATAAATCAAAATTTTAAGCTATATTTTGACAATTACTACACCTCAATAAACCTTTTGATATATTTGGCAAAAAAAGGTATAAGAAATCTATTATATATTTAATATTTTAAGTATATTTATAGGTATATACAGTCTTGGTACAGTAAGGAGGAATAGAATCCCAAATTGTAAGCTTCCTACAGAGATCGAAATGAAAAAAAAGATCAGAGGGTCATCCTTTGAATATATGGCAAATATTGAAGGGGTAGATATAACTTCCTTAGTATGGAAAGATAATAAAACGGTAACCTTTTTGTCAACATTGTACGGGAAATTACCCCAGAGTCAAATTGAACGATATAACCGCAAAACCAAGAAAAGACTAAATATAGCTTGTCCCATGCTTGTCAAACAATATAACAAACATATGGGAGGGGTTGATTTGTTAGACAGCAATATTGGAAGATACCATAATACAACCAGATCCAAAAAGTGGTATATAAGCGTCTTCCAACACCTTATTGATATAGCAGTTGTAAATTCCTGGTTATTATATCGGCGTATTCAATGTGAGAAAGCCAAATCAGATGACAATTCTGTTTTTTCTCTATCGGAATTTCGTCAAGATAGTAGCCACAACAATGTGTCAAGTTGAAGCTACAATAGAATTGAAACGTGGACGTCCTTCTTCTATGGTCGAAAATTTAATAGAAGGTGATTATTTATTTATTATTGTATTATATTTTCATTTAGATAAAAAAAGAAGGGGGCCTATGTCTTTCGTACCGTCCACAGATATTCGCACGGATCAAATGTGGACATTTCCCAGAGTGGATGAATAATCGTCAAAGGTGCAAAAATCCACTATGTAAAGGCGTTACACATGTAAAATGCTCGAAATGCCAATGTGCACTATGTTTCCATGCAAATAAAAACTGTTTTATTTTATTTCATACCAATATATAAAAATACAATAAATTGTTTGTTAAATACAATTTGTGACTTATATGTAACATACATTATTATGGTCAAAATAAAAGAAATAGAAAAATAAAAAAAATATTTTTTTGATCAATTATCGATTAACATGTCAAAGGGAATACCTGAGAATTTTTTCTAACTTATTGCAAACATCATGTGGTAAAGATGAGGATACATTTTTATATAAGTTGTAAAAATTAAATTACTTTAATCAATAATAAAGTTATGAAATATTAAATTATTAGAAATTGATAATTATTTTATATTTAATCTATTAATAGATATTTTTAAATTTTATATTATATGAATTAATATTTAATCTATTTAATAAATAGGTTAGATTTTTTTTAACCCTGTATTGCATACTGTGTATCTCGCACACCCATACCACAAATTATATGAAAAATATTTTATAAATAAATTTTCAATCAATTGCATGGTGTGTATTTGAAGCCATATTCTATATCTTCGATTGGAATTTTAATTTGGGCCACGATGATCTATTATTTATTTTTAATTTCGCATTTTATTAAACCCTATTTTTTAAAAATGGCTATTTTTTTATAAAATTTTTCTTCTCAAATTTTCTACACATCGTAAAAGGATAAATAATATATTTGACAAATTTCAAAACATTAAAATTAGATAAATAAAAGGTACAAATTAATGTTTATGAAATTATTTTATATATATTTATTATTTTTGATGATAATTATATTTTGTAATAATCATACGTTGCTTTAAAGACACATTATGCAAATAAGGTATTTTATTTGAGTTTTATATTTTTAGAATTATGAATTGTGGTACCATACCTAATGATAGTGAAGATTCAAATTTAAGTGAATCGTCTGATGAGGAGTTTCTGTCAACCCAAAATAATGATTTAGGTATATTTAAAATGTATGCTCTTATATAATCTATAAATATCTAGATTTCAATGAGAGTGATGAATCGGAAGAGGATGAAAATA